CCCCAAAACCCCAAAACCCCAAAACCCCCAAAGTCATAAGCACATAATAAGAAGTAGAATTATTTGAGTTGATTGAGAATCTTAAGAATTAAAAATCAAGTATTTTTCACAGTCTTGAACAATAACTTATTCTTTCATCTGTAGCCTGGTGGGTACTGTCCTGGTGGGTATTGCCCTTGAGGATATTGATATCCTGGTGGATATTGCCCTTGGGGAGGATATTGTTAAGGAGCGACATAGCCTGGGGGCATTTGGTAACCAGGTGGGTATTGTTGAGGAGCAACATATCCTTGAGGAGGCATCTAATAACCTTGTGGGTATTATTAGGGAGCAGCATAACCTCCTGGTGGGACTTAGTAGCCTGGGGCATACTGCTATGGAGCAACGTAACCTTGAGGCATTTGATACCCTGGTTGTTGCATACCTTGATATTAGGGAAGAGGTGGTTATTGTTAGCCAAATCCTTGCATCATCATTGGTTATTGCTGAGGTTGATACATTTGTTGTTGCATGCCCATCATTTAAGGCTACTATTATTACTATCCAGCTGGTTAATACTTAGTCTCGATTCTAATGAGATTGATAAATGCTATAAATAAGTTACAGAACTTGCCCAGCTTGCTTTTGCTTATAGTTAATTGTGAACCAATCTCTGACTCCGTTGTTAATACACAATGAAGACATCTTGATCAAACTCATGCCAATCTATAAAATATCTTATTACTATGCTATATTTACGAAGTCGTCCTTGGTGACATCCTCATCCAACACCTTTAAGGTCAAGTCGTCTTGAAGTGATCCAACATGAATTTAGAATTCCTATAGAATTAATAAGTCAATGATTCCTACATGATTCCAAACTGGGGCTTTTCCTCCACCTTGGTGAACTCTAGTCTTGTACTTGTTTCCATTGTACTCAACTTGCACAAATGGATCCATTTTACTACAATTATTTCATAAACACAAGCTTAAGTGCTTACCCGAAGGCTTCAGTATCTCTGTAAAGCTTACCCTCTACAATTCTGATTGTAAGATTTCCACCGCCTGATGATTACATCTTTATTATTAATATTATAAATTCTAAATCTTATTTTTAGAATGCAGCTAAATCACCATTCTGCAACTTTATGGGGTTTTGGGGTTTTGGGGTTTTGGGG